TAGGCAAATTGACATGCAATTTCAGTGCCCTAGGAGTGTCTAACAAATGTCTATTTTTTCTTTCAACTATACCAATTTGTTTGGGGGGAGGGGGGTGTGTGTGTAAGGAACATACCTTTAGTGAACAATTCCAGAAAAATAAACGAGGGATTTACAGTTAGTGTTGATTAATTCAGACCCATTGTCTGTTCTGACAAATTTAGGAGTGGTCTGAAAATGGTTTTTGTTTTTTATTTTTTATTTTTATGTAGGATAAAAACTGAGAAAGGATAGAAGGTACCTGGAATTTGTATTGAATGAGGTATGTCCAAGTGCACCTAGTTGCAAAATCAACTATGGTGAGGAAAAAAGATGTTTCATCTGAAGTGAGAGTGTTATAGGGTCCTCACAAATCAAGATGTAACAACTCAAATGATAAATTGGAGTGAGAACTACTCTTAGGGAATGGTAATATGTGAAATTTGCAAGGGAACAGGTTTCACAGTACCAAAATTTAAAATCATTGTCAGAACAAGGGATTATGTGTTTTAGCTTGGAAAGAGAAGCATGGCCAAGTATGTTGTGCAAAATATGCAAAGAATAATGTTGACAAGAGAACTTAAAAACATTGTTTTCAACAGAATTTTCAATATAGCTGTTGGAGTTATCAACATTGCAAACATCAATAATATTTGAAAGGTCACCATTTACAGCAGTATCAATATAAACAGTATTTAACGCAATACTAGCAAGAGTTTCAGTTTTATACTTGTATAGCCCATGAATGGTTTGGCCTCCAAGAATGATTTGGCTAGTGGAAAGGTACTGTGAAGACCAACAATTGTAAGAAAAATTAGCAACAACTTTTTGTAAAATAGTGACATTTCCAATAGACAGAAGGTTGAATTTAAAATCAGGAACATACAACATATGGTATAAGCTGAAGGAAGAAGTTAACTGCACTCTGCCAACAATGTTGACAGATTTAATGGTTTCATCCGGTAAAGTGACTAAAATTGGTTTCTTTAGATTTTTAGTTTTGGTTAGGAGGTTAAGGTGATGAGTCATATGTTCAGAGGCCCCAGTGTCAATGATCCAATCATTTAGACTATTTTCTTCAGAATTCAAACAAGTCATAGCGAGTGTAGGATTATAGTTATCTGCAAAGTTTACAGAGGTATTGTCTTCTTGTTTGCCGCGACCATCATTTCCATTTCTGGACTGAAGTAGTTTGATCAGATCATGACAAACATCAGTTATGACATTAGCATTTGTTCTTACAATATCATACTTCAATTCTAAAGGATTATCCAGCAAGATTTAGAACAAATAGCTAACCGAGCACTAGCTTTTAAGTTGATCCCCTTCTTATAACCCTTATACCAATCAGGGTATCCTATTCTTTCAAAACATTGGTCGTAGGTATGCCCCTCACTCTTACAATGTTTACAGAACTTCTTTGTAGAGTTCTTGTTTTTGACAAATCTAGATTTATTAAATCTAGAGGATTGTCCCCGATTACTTTGATTAACAAAGAAAGCAACATATTCAATTCCTTGTCCTGTTATTTGTTTAAGTTTTTCAACTTTTTGAACAACATAATATGTACTGTCTATGTTTGGTAAAGGATCAACAGTAAGGAGTTTCCCTCTCACATTGTCAAATTCATCATTCAATTTCATTAAAAATTGAATTAGCTTAGTGGTTTCCTGTCTTGACTTCAGTTTTTCAGTCAAGTCACAAGTGCATTTTCCACAACGACAAATAGGATAGGCATGTACGCTATCTTACTCTTCCCAACATTTCTCAAGTTTGGTGAAAAAAGTGGTCATAGAAAAAGTTCCTTGTTTAATATGATGTGTTTCTTTTTCTAGATGATAGTTCTGTGAAGTATTACAAGGACCAAATCTTTTGTTCAATTGATTCCATAAAAAGTGAGATGATCTAGCATAAACAAAAAAAACTTTCAATTATGGAGATAAATCCAACCTTTTATAGTGTAATATACCCTAATCCACCAATGATAATTTATGGAGGTCTCAGCCTGCTTGTTGATGCTTATGTTGAGATATTTTAGATATTCAATTTTTGATTTAGTAAATTTATATTTAGATTTGGTTTTATTCATAGATTATATTATTTAGATTTGAGTCTATTGAGTCCGTTTTGTATTGTCTATATATAAGCCCATTGATTTTAATGATCAATAAGACAATTTCATTATTTTCTCCAAAATTTCTAACATGGTGCCGGAACCTATTTTTTTCATAGGCTAGACATAGCTTACCTACCCTTGTTTCTCCGGGTACATTCAATATGGATTGTACCCGGAGGTCTTGTGATTTTGAGATCATATCTTTGTAAGTCTGTCTTTTTTAAAATCTATTTGTTATCTGCCATCTTTCTGTTGCCTACATGCGATCTAAAATTTGTCTGCTATCTGCTATCTATCCGTTGTATGTCTGTTGCTTTCGTGCGATCTGAAATTTTTCTGCGATCTGTCATATGTCCGTTGTTTGTCTGTTGCCGGCGTGTGATATGTCTAGTGTCTGCGATCTGTTTTATGATCTTTCCAATTTTTGGATTGTGATTTGTCTGCTTTCTGCGATTTGTTTTTGTGATCTGTTCTGCAATCTATCCGATGTATGCGATCTGTTCTGCAATCTATCCGATGTATGCGATCTGTTTGTTGTTTGTGATTTGTCCGATGTATGTGATCTGTTTAGTGTGTTATATGTCTGCGTTTGACTCTAATTCTATTCAGAGTCCTGTCATTTTCGGCTCCGGTGGGGAGTCATGTTGTTTTCGACTCCGATAGAGAGTCATATCATTTTCGACTTCGGTGAAGAGACAATTGTTTTCAACTTCGGTGGAGAGTCATGTCGTTTTCAACATAAAGAGTCGTGTTGTTTTCGGCTCCGCTGGAGAGTCAACTATCATTTTTTTTGCATTTTTTTTGCGTTTATATTCAACTTTTTTATCAAATCCAAGTTGATTTTCTGTTATCCCACTTGAGTTTGAGAGAGAATGTTGAGATATTTTACATATTGGATTTTTGATTTAGTAAATTTATATTTAGATTTGACTTTATCCATATATTAGATTATCTAGATTTGAGTCTATCGAGTCGTTTTGTATTGCCATAGAGGCCCTTTATTTTGATGATCAATAAGACAATTGTAGGAACACGCCGGTGAGGGCTGTTCATTCCCACGGATCGTTGTTGGATGCCAACGCGTACATACATGGTATAAAACGATCCTAAGCATGCTCCTATAAGAATGAACTAGAGATGTACCCTTTTTGGAACCACCAACAGCAATCACGAACAAGTTGATTCCGCTAGAGACCTTCCAGACTGTTCCCGAACCCCGCTCGAACACCGGATGGGCGGCGATCTATCAAACGGAGGGAGACGAATTTTGCTCTTCGTGAAACCCTAGAGCTGACGGCTTGCACCTGTGGTTTTCGCCTCCTTTTGAAAAAACGTCACTAGGGTTTGACAAAGACCGCATATTAATAAGTCTCCCAACAGGTAATTGGGCCAGACCGGGGATCTTTAGAAGGTGTTGGGCTCGGGCTCCCTTATAGATCCAAATCTCTATATTCAGCCCTGAATATAATTCGAATCATAAAATATTAATTCATTCCATTAAAGAATTAATATTGCACTCCCAGCCCAACCCAAATTGAATCTGGGCTTCTATTAAACTTAATTAATTTCCCATGTTTAAGATGTTCCACATCCATTAATTAATTAAATCTTCTGACAATTTAATTAATTAATATCTTTTAGTTCCTTAAGTAATACCACTCAAAACTTATTATTGTACGGATTAAATCCACCTGCAGGGTTTATACAATAATCCTTATTGAGTTCCTTAAGGGGATGTCATCAACCTGGATGTCCAGGACATGGTGCCTTAATGATAATAAATTAATTACTATGCGAATAATGTAGTTGCCCAAAATACGAAGCATATTGAATCACTAAGGATTCTCACTTATGGTAAATTAAAGCAACGAACATTTATTCCATATATTTAATTTATTTCATCTAAGGTTAAGAATTAATAGAGTTACCGAGATCTTGGTTCTTCAATGTCAGAATAGAAGAACATATCTCAACTGTGATCCTTTCAATGTGACGCAGCACATTAGTGTAAACTAATAGTCAAGACAAACTAATTCCAAGTTTACACTACAACTTAAACCGATGGTTTTGTCCATAACCATCTCAGTGGTGAAACCCATTTATATTTAATAAAGAACTGACAACAAGATCTTCTGTGTGATCTCCACACACCATGTTGTCTACAATATTAAATAAGTGGACATGCTAATATATATAAAACATAAATAAAAGCAACACAATGTGAAATAACAATTTATTTATTCCAGTTAATAAGGAAATTGAATAATACAAAAGCGTACTAAAAGTTTGCTTTACAGTATAATCCAACAATAATTTTATTCTTTTTCCCCAAAATTTCTAACAGTTTCCATCGATGAATCCAAGTTTCATCTTGGTGCCCAAGGCCATTTCAAGAATTTTTTTCCCCAGATTGGATTCGTAAGACTCAAACCTGGATATTCTGAGCTTGAGACGTAGATTGGATCATTGTGCAAATCCACCAATGATATAACAGAATCAGCGATTCCATCCTCTGTAATGCTACTTTTGTTGTTTCCAATACCTCTGGAGTTGTCACAATTGTTTTCCATCAGATCTCCAATTGAGAAGAATCACACTGAGTCAATCCAAGTGAAGAAAAAGAAAACGGATCTGCAACTAATTCCTACTTGTAAACGGTTTCTCTATTTATAAACAGGTTTTTCAAAGAACATAAAATGTATATTGTTTGTTTCTTTATTTGATAAAGCATGTTTCTCTGTTTTCTTCAATTTCATATTTATGTGTTGGCTATGTCTTTCTACTGTATATTGTGACTACTGTATTAAATAATTTAAATCAGCACGGTAACCCTCTAATTTCCAGTGTTAATAATAACAAAAGAAGATAGCAAATTATTTTATAGGTGGTCTGAAAAGAGTACAATAACTTAAGGTACTGCAAATTGAAGTGATCATCGACTATCTTCCCTGTCTAAACCAGACATCACTGGACAGCTACCACAGCTTCTTTCCCCGGAATAACATTAGGAGATCTTCCAATAACTGCGGTGGTGGCTGCTGCGGCGGCAGCAGCTGCAGCTGCCGAAGCCTTTGCATTTGCAGCTGGTTCGACGCTGGGTTGTCCTAACATGAACTCGTTGTCTTTGTCATCCTGCGAAGGACACGATCTTCCACTGCCGGCTACTAGACTTTTGATGCTCAATATAAGCTCTTTATCGCTCAGCAACGACTCCATTGTCACATGCACCCCTGAGAAAGACAATCCGACAGTTAGGTGCCGTTATGGGAAAACCGGGTTGAGGAGGGCGAACTTACTGTATCTCCAATAGTGCTTTGGATTCGTTGGATCGTTTATTGTTTCCTCGACAGCTGGACGCGTCATGTACTCTTCTTTAAGGGCCAGCAAATCCTGTTCATAGATATATACGAGTTTTGAACAATTCGGATAACCATATCATTGCCCTAGACGGTAATTTTCTCGAAGATTAAGTTCTAAAAGATTTCTGAAAATATAAAGGTTGTGGAAATACCTGAAGTGGAAAAATCGCCCACATCGAGGGAGCTTCGACATGCTGTCGCAAAACAAACTCGACGATCTCAGGAGTGCATCGATCTGGCGGCAGCATATCAGAGCCCACAACAGCGCTGAAAAATCTACGCCTTCGATCTTCATCTTCTTCCCACCAAGCGCGGAGAGTGGAGCAGTCATGGCAAGATGGAGCACATACTGTCATATAACTGTACTGGGAAGGAATACCGAATTCGAGACCTGGTTCGTTGGGCATCCGTTGTATGCGTAACCCAATTAAACCGAGTTCTTGCATGACCTGAAATGAGGTAGTCCCCGTTACGACAAAAATGGAATTTCAATTTATATCAAATATGGTGTCGTACCGGGTGAACACAAGAAGGAATCAATCCAAGGTCTTCTCCGCAAGCGAGCATGTCTGACGAATTCAATAGAACCGGCAATGTCTTCAGGGCATTTTGCCGCCACAGGGATTCTTGCCGTTGGAAATAGTAATCATAGTACAGTCGTTTCAGGACATTCTTGCTGCAAAGATTCAACACCAGTTAGAGATCACAAGATTCTCCACATATTAATTATAGAGTTGTGATTGTCCATCGAAACTGAATGTCGTATGTATATTGGATACCTATGTTCGTCCAAGTCGTTGAAGCTCGATGTATCCTCGATGTTGAACCGGGGATAGAACTTCTTTGGATCTTCCGGATCTCTTAAAAGGGCTACATTCTGCATTGAAAAATAGTAGAGCGAGTTTCCCTCGTAGTTAGGAATGTGAACATTCAACAAACATTTACTGTTACTCGACTTTCTTTGACCACACTTGCCTGCAAGATGTCAAAGAGCTTCCGTCGGAGTTGTTCTTCGCTTTCCTGAAATAGAGACGTCTCTAAAAATGCCTTCAGCTTCGATGCAATTTTCTTCTCCGTGTTACAGTCCTCCTTGAACTGCATGAAATCATGGGACTACGTTAAGTTCTTTCGTAAGAACAACAAAGAACTCTCGACAGAACATATGTCCTTCACACAAACAGATCACCTCATATCGGCCCTTCTGAAATTCATTGAGGAAGGTAGAAGCAATTATGGTCCAAGAAGCTTCGAATTTCTCCTGATGTCATGAATTTATATAGAATCAATAGATTTATTGATAACCGGAAGATAATGAAACCGAAAGAGTCGAAATGATAATGACATTGACCTGTAATAGTTGCTGATTAATGTACGGCTCGCTCAAGCGCTTAAAGTCCCATATTCCTTCCCTTTCAAGCTCCTCCTACAAATCAAATCGGTAGAAAATAAATAAGTTACGGCGAATCCACTCACATAAACACAAAATAGCCATTTCAGTAGGCAACCATATACTCTAATTTCTCATGCAAATTCACGACGAATTACTCAATTAAAATGTACTATACAAAACTAAATTGAAGCAAGATTTTCTGGCGGGCTTGAAAAGACTATCTTCTCTGCAGGAATACATACATTTCTAATGAGCTAAAGACAGAGAAATAGGGAATACATGTAACCTGACTCAAAGGGATTGAAGGCCGGAATTTCCCACAAAGACCAGTCACTGCATGATCGGGAAGCTCCCAGATTCTGAAGAAGCCCAATATATGATCAATCCTGTATGCTGTGAAGTACTTTGCCATCTATTTTGGAAAAAAACATCGTAGATAAACATAAACTACAAATTTGAAATCTTGAACGTTGAATGATAAGTTTCAGTAGATGATGACCTGCGTTAATCGGGCACGCCACCAAGCGTAGTTGTCTTTGGACATTTCCTCCCAGTTATACGTAGGGAAGCCCCAATTTTGTCCATTTTTATCAAAATAGTCTGGAGGGGCGCCGGTTGAGGTGTTCATTCTGAACAGAGTAGGGTAAACCCAAGTATCCACACTGTTCCGGTCGACTCCGATTGGAAGATCTCCTTTTAACACTACGCCTTCCTTCCTTGCATAATCAGCAGCTTCAGATAGCTGCATATCATATAGAGCTTTTCTGAATAGACAGTTCAGATCAGTGAAAAAAGTATATAATAGAAGAACATAAAGATTTCGAATCCTACTTGCATATGTAAATGGTATTGGATGTAGTAATGGAAGCGAATTATGTCTTGGTGCAGACTGTCTTCCGATGTCAGTTTCTCAAGCTGAAAATATAGAAAAAATGGTAGCATTTTTATCATGTATGTGTCAGTAAGAGAATAAAGAACTCAAAGATCCGAGTACCTTATCTTTTGAAAATGTGGAAAATGTTCCCCACTGACTATGATCAGATGTTTCGAAGAAGTCCCGTAGAAAACAAAATGCTGCATATGGTTTTAGCCATTCCTGTAGCAAAGAAAACAAACTATTTGAAAAACCAATGAGAAATAAATCCTGGGATCATAGATGTATAAAAAATATTCATGGGAACTGAAAATTATGTAACCTGATTCTCTGAAAAGAAGCTCTGGTACGAAGAAGATTTAAATATGACATCCTTCTCACGAGAAAATATCTTCTTGGCAATCGAAAGCTTTGTTGCCATGGTGGCGTCATAATCTACTGCCTAAAGAGAACATGTAAGGTATGAATGCCTTCCATCCAATTAAATATAACCAATAATCCGAAGACGTTGAGCAATGTAGTTATTATATGGCCTTAAAAAGAAAATTCACTGCAAAAGAAGCGAATACCTTCCCATCCAACTTTTCTTTCGCTTGCTGTATCTCTTGCTGCAGAAACCGAACAGCAGTAACTCTATAAGTAGTGTGCCATTTTCCGATATATTACTAATTGACATGCATTTTTAAGGTACAACTCATGGTTTATATATCAAAAGGAGTAGAGATCAAACCATGATATCATCAGGGATATTTTTTGAGAGGGCCTGCACTCTTAGGTATAATGGATGCAGGGCAAATACCGAGAGAGAGCTGAATTTTGAATTAAAAGAAAAATGTAAATTAGTAGTTGAATTAATGCTTAGTAAAGGTTAAAAATCAGGTGATGAATGGTTTTTTACCTGTAAGGATATGAATCCCACCACATTCCATGTACGGACGTATCATTGATTGGCAAGAGCTGAACCAAATGGAAGCCCGACTTGACAGCCCAGTCAACTAGCAACTTCAAATCGAGAAACTCCCCAACTCCTAAATCAGCTTCGGATCTGACCGAAAACATTGGGATTGCTACGCCAGCACCTCTCCAAGGCATTTCCTAGAATAGGTAAATTACCACTGTAATGTTCCGGCATTGTTCAAATTCAAGAAACATAAAGAAAGAAAAATTGCAAATAGCTTACGCGCATCAGACCATCAGAGCGAACAATGTACTTTGGTTGATTACCAGAGAATTCAACATGAAATTCCCTGTTGGCGCCAGTTTCTAGAGCTAGATTTTTAGCTTTGTCGACTTTGCAATATCTGTACGTAAATATTGTTAAGGGAAGAGACATATACAAGCCCCGATCCTCACAGAGTGCTCTCTAAGACACCATAAGACTTGGAGATGAACATGTTAAGGATATTTGATCGGCATGTCATCCTTTCCCATTACAGTTTCAGCTAGCCATACTGAATCACCAGCATACACGAGCTTGAGTCCGTCCTCAACCTTCCATCGGCCAAGATTCGAAGGACTACCGACCACATAAATCTGCCACACATGCATATACGGAACCAAAACAACATAGGAAACATTACTTCCCCGCTTAAAAAATGAAAAACAAATATTGCAGCTCCTCTTGTAAACAAGATCTCACCGATGTGTCTTCATCAATATTTGGGCAGCAGATTCTGAACTGTACGGTGACAGAACCTGTTCATCATGTTCAAATTCATTTTCCAAACTGATAAAAACTCTTTAAGAAATCAATACACCTAAACAAGTACTTCAACTTGAAGCAAAATAGAATTACAATCACTGCCGAATTGATTCTGCACGGATTCTGATGATTCCAGTTTCTTGATTCTACCAGTCCCACTTATCCGAAATATGACATCTTTGAATGCACTCCTCAGAGGTAGATCATCAGATCCAGTCTGCACTCGACATACAATACATCTCAAAAAGTATAATAAATAAAGAGCATTCAATCAACAATCAATCAAACAAACAAAGTACCTGCCAAAGATCATGAAGCTCCACTAACTGCCCATTCGGAATGCCTTTCGGTAATGGCATTGTTCTTTTCTTCCCAGATTCCCATCGCAGCACATTCTTCTCATCGTCCACCACATAGTAATTGTACACAAAGCTAAACCCCGCTGGAACCGTCACACTGCCGGACCATATCAGCTCATCTCCTTGGTGAGAAGGCTTCAGCAGAAGGCCTCTCTTCACATTCCAAGCACCAAGAACAGGTTCAGATCCACAAACCAGTAAATGTTGTCCCCATTGAGTATAATATGGTATTTTGAAGCACAAAGTGACCGAATTGGATGCCTTGCTCCCAGAAAGCAGTCCCATCTTTAAATAAAAGCTGAACTGCACCGAGAGAGAACCGAAATTCAAGGATGTGTTTGGTTTGTGCTTCAAATATAAATCTAACACTATTTAGCTGTTGTTCTCAATAAAAGATATGCTATTTTCTCTCGTAAAACATTACATAAAAATACTATTTAAACCAAAACTCAAATCAAAACCAAACAAACCCGCGACTATAGGAGAATTCTAAAGTACAACAACCTCCAATCAAGAATTGTGTCTAAAAAATGATATGCACAATTAGAACTCATTGATTTCAAGCATCATTACATCAAATAATTAAGCATTTCTTATTCTGATTTCAACACAATTTAAGCATTCACATATTCATATTTCACCCCTGATTCTGAAATTTATTTACAATAATTTTTAAGTCTGATCTTAGACATTGCAAAGTGGGTTTAAAATCATATAAACCCTACTTTGAGAAGAACAGTGAAATACAGAAGAGAAAACCAACCAACAGAAATTAGAATTTTTAATTAAATACAATAAACAGAGCAAAAGAACCATTCAAAAGCATACATAATATCACATAGATCAAACTCCATATAATCTTCACAACAATAATCTAGCAGAAGAAATCCGAACATCCAACGATCCCTAAACGACTGTGTATATCAAAACTCCAATCGGAAACGCACTCAGTAGCGAACGAATCAGTCAAAATCGCAGGAAACACAAAAAAATCAATCGCAAAAATCAATCCAGAAATGGATGAATTACACGAATAATTCAGCTCTCTCTTCTCCCAAATCCCAATGCCTCGAAGAAAAACAAGCTGCACGAACGTATTGTATTGTATTGAGCGAAGTATAAGAAGATGGGGTTCTCTCTCTCTAGATATCGGCCTTTCTCACTCTAACTTCCCAAATTTGGTAAATCCCACGAAAATAAACAAATGCATCAAATTCTTCGATGGATATTATTTTTGCTATTGGGGTGTGGCAGCTAGAAATTTGGGAAAAGTGCGAGATATTTTGGCATGTGAGGGGCGAAAGAAAAGGGAAAGAGAGGATGGGAGGTGGTGAAGTGAATGCATATCCTCCCAGCGCCGTTAGGTCCTGACATTGCCACTGCAATTGCAATCAGTGGGAGGAATGGGTAACAGGGACAGATGGGCTCATCTCCTTCACACACGCACCATCCTTGAAGATGGAAATCCTTTCTGTTAATCATGTTCGGAAATTGCACAGCTGAATAAATGTAATCATATACCCTGCCTGAATTCTGTAAATGATCAAATTCAATTCCACGTGTAATTACACGCCTTTGAATTAATTTATAAAACTTTTAACTAAGAAGAGATAAAATAATTGAGATAAAAATTAATAAATTAAATTTCATTCTATTAACTTAATTTTCTTTTTCAATGCTTCTGATTTAGTTGCTAATAAAATTTGATCATCAGTATGAATCCGTGCGTGCTTCCTTGCTCCATTCCCTACCTTTATTAGATACTGCCATGAGAGAAATTTTATTCGAGGATACTCGTCTCAAGATGCTCAAGAGTACTCCTGATTCGGCCTTGGTTGTTTCTTCCTTCATTTATCCTCGCAGAGATACACGCTGAAATGTCCGGCCACCTCAGTCTGACAAGTTCCATTGTTGCCCGAATTTCGATCATCTTTACACTCATTGCCCTAAGATTAAAGTGCCGCTACTGTCATCGCAGAGGCCATGTAGCTCCAAACTACCCCAAGAAGAATATTGCATCTTTTTCCATCCCACTCATCCTCCGTCATATCTTCACCCATGTTTTATCTGTCAATCCCTCTTTGGCCACCACCTCAGGTAACCAAATTTGGTACATTGACTCTGCATGTTGTAATCATATAACACCTAATATTCATCTTTTGCACTCTCTAACATTTGTCCTGTTACCAACACCTATTCTCATTGCCAATGGTGCATCTATGTGCATCACCCACACAGGACACACTTTTTCCCATCCGTAGACGATATCTATGTCATTCCTCAATTAATATTGAACCTTGCCTCTGTTGGTCAGTTGGTTGAGCAGGGTCTCACTGTGACTTTCTCATCTTTTGGTGTACAGGCTCAGGATATGCAGATGGGTCAGACTGTTGGGACGGGACGCAAGACAAGCCGTTTATTTGAGCTCAACCACCTCCAATTTCTTCCTACACCATCCCTGTCTGTTTCCGCCTCTCCCTCATCCTCCTATCAATGGCACCTCAAACTTGGACACGCCTTCATAAATAAACTCCGGTCTTTTGCTAATAAAGGTACTTTCGGTTCAATTTGTTTTGAGTCTTTCGATTGTTTGCATTGTAAACTTGAGAAACAACCAGCTCTTCTATTTTTGAATAATATGTCTAATTCCACTAACTCATTCTCTTTGGTACATTTTGATATTTGGGGGCCATCTCCGGTTGGAACACTAAATGAGTTTCGTTATTTTGTCATTTTTATTGATGATTAGTCTCGGTATACCTGAATTTATTTCATAAAAAAACAATTTGAACTTACCTCCATTTACTCCAACTTTGCTAAAATGATCCAAACACAATTCTTTTGTCCTATTCAAACCCTCCGCACTGACAATGCCCTAAAATATAATGATTATGTCTTTGTTAAACTTTTGTCTACCCAAGGTACTATTGTTCAGCGCTAATGTCCCTACACATCCCAGCAAAATGGTAGGGCAGAATGCAAGCATCGTCACATACTAGATATAATTTGTGCCATGTTATATTTGTCTCATGTCCTGATCGTTTTTTCTATTGAAGCCAATGTGCATAGTGGGTGGGGGGTGGGAATATCCATTGTTTGTCGTGCATGACTGAATTGTGTGCTAAAGACATGTGTGTATTTCTTTTCAACATAACATATTTTTATTAGATGACTTGCCGATGAAGTAGACGATAAATATGCCAAGCGTGACATGTTTTACCTTGTGTGAGATTTGAGCTTAATAGAGCATTCATTTTAAATGCTATACATTTTTTCTTGTATATGATTGTTGCTCTAGACTTGGTTTTCTAGAACTTGCTTAGCGATACATGTCGAATTGATTTTCTAAGAGTCTATGTGATTAATATGAGGACATTAGGATGAACCATTTGGCCTGATATATTTCCTACCTAAAAATTAATCATTTAGTGAGCTCTTTTGAGCTTGAATACCCTATTTTATTGTTAAATGATCCGCATTTAACCTATGAATTTTCTTTCTAAAGTCAAAAGTTATTTGAACCTTTAGTCAAAGGAAAATGTTTCGAGCTTATATTATTTTAAAGTCTCTAAGGGAATGAGAACTTATGTCTATTTATTGTTGTTCATTGTATATGAGAGAAAATTAAAAGGACTGATAAAAAAAAATGGCACAAGTTTTTATTGCATTATAGCGGGAATGAGCATTTTGGTGTTAACTTATCGGTTGAGTTGGGTGTACTGCGAGCTATATTGGTGAACATTCTTACGTAGTTTGCAAAAATAAAGTTTTGAGTATGCATGTTAATGAATGAATAAGTGAGGGATGAGAAGTTCTACATTGAGTCTATATATTACAAAATGAGCTTGAAATATTTTCTCTTTGACTTATTTAGCCGAATAATATCCTACATCCTACCCCAACCTAAAGTCCCATTACAACCTTATTTAAAAACCCTTCTATTTTTTGCATTAGATTTCGAAAAACTAAGAGAGGTGATCAATATGCAAGCCTATGGGATAATCATTTTTACGATGCGACATAAGTGACTTGTTAATCCATATATATTTGAGTGTTGAGTGTATACACTTCATTCCTAGTGAGGTTATGTTGCGCTTGGTATGTTTTAAGTTTCATTGAGGTAATGATAATATGAATTTATTTGTGGAGGTTATGATTGCATCAAGTTCTTCAGTGTGCTTGTTTGTTTTATGCTTGAGGGCAAGCATGGTTTGGGTGTGGGGGAATTGATAAATATATACTATTATATATTTTCTATAGATAAATTATAAGATTTAATCAATATTTTGGATAGATTTCTACTCATCTTTGGCATATATTGATTTGTGCAAGGGAACGGAATGATTCATGCTCATGCCATATTTTCAATCAAAAACTTTTGGAAAGACTTGAATTAAGCTCTCATGCTAAGGAAAGAGGTGGATTACGGAAATTAAAGCTTGATTGTTGGCATCATAATTAAGTGGGAGCAATTAAGAGAGTGATTGAGGACCCCAATCATCTATAAAAAGGGGGGCCAAGGCATTGGATGTGGCATCACAATTCACATTCACTTTTTCATAGTCTAAGCGGAGGGTTTAGAAGGATGTTTTGAGAGGAAACACCTTCGGATGTCTTCGAATGATCAAAAAGTTTTACTGCTTTTATTTATTTTTAAGCATTAGTAGCTAATTTCTTAGTCTAGTCCAAGGTTGAATGTAGATTTCGGATTGGGATTTGTGAAATTGTATTTTGATTTAATTTGAATCTTGTTTAGTAAATTGATATTTGTGCGATTTACGTGATTCATGTCTGCAATTATTTTATTTAATCTTTTATCGTGACCGGATCTTAGATTGGCTTAGCAATTATGTGTTAATTGAATATTTACATCCGTAATTGTGTATGTGTTTCATAAAATGGTAAATAGGTTGACAAGCTTAGCTTAGGAATCGCATGATCAAATAATTTAATCTTTTCGTAATTAATAAAATATTTGAATTGAGTTTTTTTTGTGTTATTTTCAATTGGAGAAATTAATTTATGGTCGTACCTAAATTATTTCTTTGATTAGGGATGCGGTTAATCGGTCGTACCATTGCTGCTAATAAAGTAAGAAAAATTTGAGCGTTATGATCGTATTTCTTTACGATTGTGTATTGTATTCATATATTCATTTACAAAATCATCCAAATATATTGTATTCAGTTTATAGATTGATTAAATAAAAAAATTATGATCGTATTCCTTTACGATTGTGTATTGTATTCATATATTCATTTACAAAATCATCCAAATATATTGTATTCAGTTTATAGATTGATTAAATAAAAAAATCATTGTGTTCCAATTCAATCACTTTAGGTTCAGAAGAAAAGTATAGTCTACTAGACTTCAATATCGTCTCTTCTAAGATAGCCTATATAAGATCTCAGGCAACCAAATCAATGTCTAATTAGATGTAAAAAATAATGGAAAATGAAGAGTGCAGAGATATAATATTTGATGTAAGGCTGAATCTCAATCCATTAGAGGACAAATGGATTTTAGTTAAATTGTTACTTTTATTTATTATATTAACTAAAACTAAATTTTATATTAAAAAATATTATATCAAATACTTATTTATTATTTATTATGTCATACAATTATATTAATTTAAATTTCTTTATTATAAAAATACAAATTTAAAATTCAAACTCTTATATTTTAGTATACAATAATAGTAACAGGGGCAGAACCACCCCTAAGACAAGGGACAGCCCGTGCACTGGCCTGCTCCTTATTTTATTTGAATTTTTTTAAAAAATTTATATAAGTATGTATATATTTATATAGAAAATTATTTTAAAATATTAAAAAAATAATTAAATATGTTTATGATTTGTATTTTAATTTCATATAATTGTTTAGAAATATTATAATATAATATAATATAATAATAAAAGTTAAATACACTTTTAGTTGTGATAATAAGATAATTTTAATAATCATTTTAAATATTTTTTTTAAAAAAAGGTTCTATTTATTATTTTCAAGTCATACAAAAATAAATATATACAATATGTAGTATTTTTTATGCCTTTATTTATTATTATTATTATTTTTAAATATGTCAATTTAAAAAATACAACATTGAAATATATACTTTCAATGGTATTATTTAAAAAATTTTAAGAATTAACCCCCGTTATATTGGACTCTAGTTCCTCTCTGACAGTAATTCATGTAAGAAACCCCGAACATACAAATAATATTTAAATAAAAATAAACAAAATAACACATCATAAATTTTTAGTAATTTTTAAAACAAAATATATATTAAATTTAGGTCTATTCAATTGTGATTTTAATGAATTTATATAGATTTTAAAAAGTCTATTGATTTAGAAAGTCAGTTTAGCTGAATTTGATAATTTTAGTAATTGATTTAGATGATTTCTATCAATTTGATTGAATTTTTTATGGATTTATATG